AAAAGGCAAAAGAGACGAGGAGATCGAGAGACGCTGTCGGCGAACAGCTGGCGGTTGCACGCGTATTTGCCGTCGGAGGAAACTTTTCAAAAGGTTTAAAGGCTAGAACCTTTGAAAGGATTGAAAGGGCGGTGTGTAGAAGGAGAAGAACGAGAAAGGGAACGAACGGGAGCGAAAGAGGGACGAAGGGAAGCGGCGGCGACGAGGGTGGAAGAGCGAGCGAGCGGCGCGGCGGCGGCTGCGGGTCTGCCGTGGTGCGTGTCACAGTTTACGGGAGCGTCGCGAGACCAGCGCCGATAGAACGGGGGCGGGTCGCCGCTCCGCGTCTCGTTAATTTTCGCCTTTCTCCGAAAGCCGTATCGCGGGGGGCTTTCGTTCGTTCGTTAGCCGACCGACGCGGATAATGCGGATTCCTATAAACTCGTCACGCGCCGCGGCCGGTATCGATAGAAGAATATCCTTTAATTAATGCGGCGCTCGCCGCGAATGCCACGTACGCGCCGTCAACCTGCTCCCTTTTCTTCCCTTTCTCCTCCTTCTTCCCTTCCTTTTTTTTCCTCATTTTTTTCGCGCGTACGCGACGCCGCGTTTTTTTAGACGATCGCGCGCTCGAAAGTCGAGAGAGCTCGCCCCCTTCCGGGATATGAACGGCCGTCCCCGCAGCATCGTCGACGGGAATCGTCGTTCGATTCCGAGCGAACGAGCACCCCGCCAGTTACGCGGATTTTTACGATCCCGGGAACCGTCGGGAACTTCGGAACCCGCACCCTCCTCCGACAGGCTCCGCAAGAGGAAGTTTCTTTCTTCGCTCGCGCCCTAGACCCGCGATTCCGCCTCTTTTCATGGCGAGGTTACTACTTACCGCCCTCTGGGGAAGGAATGTAGCGAGCCGCACGAGAAGAAAGGAATTTAGTGACAAGGCACTGGGCGCTGCAGATATTCTGGCCGTGAAATCGCTGGTACGGACTCCGTAGACACTGTTTTCGTCGGGGAAACACGCCGGAAGCAATAGAATCTTGATTATCCGAATCATTTGTCGTTGAACGGATAGTGTGCGTGCGTGTCTGGTAGAAGTAGGATTTCAGCGAGAGCTCGGATATCGTTGACACGTCGTTATCAGTCGATTTTTAATTATTTCTTCGGGTTCTCCCACCTGTTGCTGAATAAATATTTTGCTCGGAATGTACCCGATATGAGGGGTGAATTCGATGAGAGAACATTTAGAGAGTGGGTTCGCGATATTCGACTTTTGGGATATTGAAATTCTCCGGTTTTCATTCGATTTTCTCTGTTCCCGTATTGTTTGTGACGGGAAGACGACGTTCCTCAGCGATAGGCAAGGAGAACGTCCTCTCGGCGACGCAGAGGAACGGTAAGCAGAAGGAGAAAGAGAGAGGAGAGGCTCTCTGGCAGGCAGGTTCCGTGTAAAACAGTCGCCGTTTAAAACTGTAAATAGCGTAACGAGGGCTCGTCTCGAATCGCGGAAAGAAGGACGCGATGAATATCATCTGTAATTCCGTTAATGGACCGCGCAGCGAAATTCGTCCTACAATCGTGAAAGAGAGCCCAGGCCGCGGCGGCGCGCCCGTCTCGCATTTAAATGTCACTCGAGGACCTGCTCCTCTCGACGTTTCTCTTTGCGCTCTCGCCAATTGACCCCGTCTATTAAACCTCCGATCCCGGGACGCTTCTGATGGAGCCGCGCTGGCTGCGACGCCTGGGTCTATTCCGACCCGTGTCCTCGACGTAACCTCCATTTTAATCACCACCGCTTCAGGGAATGGAAACCTCTGAATCGGAGGATGTAATTACATTTTGAATGTTCTTGTTGTCCGTTCTCAACCGTTCGCGAAATATTTCATGACATCTTCAACCGTCTGGTTTGAAAATTCGGATCCTCCTAACATGAATAATTGTTAGTGTAAAATGATACATGCTGGATATGATGCTAGAATTGATTCTATATGACGCTGGAAACGCATAAAAACTGACGAGCATTGATCGAAATAACATTCCTTGATAAATAGGCAAATGCTAACGAAGTAATCATAATTTTGTCTACAAAATATCATATTCCAATGTTTCAACTATTTAAATATCGATATTTCAACAATCATATTATATTCTTATATTATTATCAACAAATATTTATAATCAACCAAGTTATGTTAAAAAATTACTGTTACGAGTTGAATAAACTTGAACTTGGAGACACGATGGTAGCCTAACTCTGATCATTAATGCATCAGCACGATGGACACTTGTGCAGCTGTGACAGCCATTTGCATTCCGCCTCTGCCGGTAGCTATTTCTACGATCTTTTATCATTACCACCGGGCGGACATTTCCGTCGACCTTGCGCGCCGCTTCCGCTTCATCCCCCGCGTGTTTGCTCTGCCCTTCTGTCCGGCCTCTCGCTCGCTCCTGCGTTAACATTCGAGGAGAAAGGCCTTCGAGGGATTTGCCGAGACAGAGGGAGATCGCGGGTGCCTTATCTTGTCAACAAACAGTGTAACGCTTCCGCAAACTATTACGTACGCAAAGTATTTCCCATGTAGAGCTGGGGAGACCGTGAAAAGAACAGAGAATAGAGCCGACTGCTCTAATTAACTGGCTGCTAACGAATCAGGGGATAGAGTTGCACGATAGACGAAGTTTGCTAGAGATAGGCACACACATACGTTTCGAATCAAATGTAAAGTTTACGGTTGGTTTTGAGGATCACCTGAATATTCACATTTTCACCAGAGATGATTAACCTCTGTTGTCAACATTTACTCCCAGCATTAATTGAAGATAGGAATTACGAGGAACAAATTTAATATTTACTATCCGTAAAGAAGAATCGCGTTCGATCGTTTACACGGTATTTTATTAACCCTTGCCTCCTGGTTCCTTTCGCATTCACCGGAGTTATTCCATCATTAATAACTCGATAGAAGAGAAAGGTATACCGCTTTCACCGTGAACCTATGTTTACCCCGAATAACGTCGAATAACAGAAAAAAGCTAGTGCGTTTCAGCTGTGAAAAAATGAACGACATTCATATCCGTTGAATGAAATCCGAAACTTTCATCGCGAGTCTGACTCGCTGTTGTAAAACGAGTTCAAGGAACGCCAACTGTTAAAATAAAGGTTTCACGTTTCGAGCAAGAAATATTACCTTTTTCACGCGATAAAATTGAACGCGACTGCTTGCGGTCGATTTGCCCGATCGATCGATTGATTTCGTGTTGCCTGTTGCAGGTGAACGGGCAAGACGTATCGAATTCCAGTCACGAGGATGCGGTGCGTTGCTTTCAGTCGGCGCAGGAACCGATCATCGTGGAGGTCCTGCGACGGCAGCCTGGAGTGCAAGGACAGCGAGCCTGGAAGGAACAGCAAACGGAGAAAAACGAGACCGAGGAGAAGACCAGCGAGCCTAGCAAAAGGGAGCAAGGGATCCCAGCGTCGCCGATTTTGGTGTCGACCGCAGTGCAAACCGACTGGGCCGGCCTCCTAGAAGAAGAGGAACTGCTTCCGGAGCCTATCGGCGTCGACGAACAGACGAACGACAGCTTCGAGGATTTCCTTGCACACGACATCGACTTCGAGGTATCAAACAAGCTTCTCTTTACAAGGTTATATTGATCAATTACACGCCCGTTCAACGAATTAAGATCTTTTCTTTAATCATATTCATTGGCTAATATTCGTAGACCTATCCTAAATACTTTGGCAACGGAATTGCTCTATCATCTTCAATTCTTGGGAATTTTGATGAAAACCCATAGTTCCGAATATAAATGAAGTATCACGTGGCAGCTAACAAAAGGATTCTAACATGTTCAAGTACAGATTAAACTTTCCAGCATTTTGTCTAAAAGTAACCTCATTTTTCTATCGAATACTTCCGAAGATCATGTTTTATCACGAAAATTCATGTTTCCTAGAACTCGAAGACGATAGAGCAATTCTGGCTCTCGAATTGGTGTTTGCTCCGCAAGAATCATTCGCCAAGTGCCACAGATCAAACAGCCTGTCAGACATTCTAACCGAACCCATACATAACCGTTCGAGTGTCTTCGTCTGTGGCATCCACGGTAGCTACATTATTTACGAAAACAACGGTAACCCGTGGTTGCAGGAAGTGACGCTACGGAAAACGGGCAGCGCGGAGAAACTGGGGCTCACGGTCTGCTACAGCTCCGGGTCCGGCAGCGAGGACGCAGACACGGAAGTTTATATCTCGGAAATAGTTCCTGAAAGTCTCGCGGCGCGCGACGGCCGGCTGCGGGAAGGCGACCAAATCCTGAGGGTGAGCTTGTGAATTATTACTGTGGTCCCGGGCCCCGGCCAGAGATATGAGAAGCTCTGTGTGCGGAACAACGCGGAATGAAACTCGCCACCCGAAACGCCACTAATCTTTTCTGCGTGCTCGGTTGGATCCCAGGGATTGAAAACAATTATGACGTTGGTTTGGCTTTCGAAAACAGTAAGAGAACTGAAAAATATTCGTAACTATCGATATAACTATTCTAGGTGTATTGGTTGTGAGTCATTTACCGGTTCCGTTTTTGCTGTCGGTTCTTTAAAACCGATGTCATTTAGACTCGACATCTATTTGAGAATGAAGCTACTGCTAGTTGAAGTCTAAAAGATTTTTCACAGACGAATATCGTATTAATAGTGATGATGAGTTGAACAATGCTCTCGCGTAGTTATAGTCAAGTAAGAAATGTTTTCGAGAGCAACTCACGATAGTTTTACTCTCAAGGAACAGCGTTATTTTCGTTTCTGCATCAATTATTACAATTTAAAATCGAATCAT